CTTTCTGACCAGGACATTGTCGCCCTCTCCGGTGGTCACACACTGGTTCGTTCCGTCTCTTCCTTATAAATATGTTTAAATTTGAATTTTGAGCTTCACCCCAAGTGCATATGTAACCGCCCAAGCCTACCGTTGGCAGATAGTGTCATCTTTAGTCTTTTTCCTTATGTGCTTTCCCTCGAGGTTAGGTTTTAAAATGCGATTGCTAGAGAGAGGTTTCCACATCCTTATAAAGAATGTTTCGTTCTCCTCTCCAACCGATGTGGATCTTACAATCCACCCACTTTCGGGGCTCAGCGTTCTCGCTGGCACTCGTTTTTTTTTTTTCTAATCAATGTAGGATTGTCTAGTCCACCCCTCTTCGGGGTCCAACGTCCTTACTGGTGCACCACCCCCATGTCCACCTCTTTGGGGCTCAGCCTCCTAGCTGACACATTGCTCGGTCTGTAGCTCTGATACCATTTGTAATAACCAAACCTACAATTAGCAGATATTGTTCTCTTTGGGCTGTTCGCTTTCGGGCTTCCCCTCAAGGTTTTAAAACGCGTTGGTTGATTTAACAACACAAGTAATAAGAAGCTAAATAATGAATCAAGGAAGCTTAATTCACTATAGTCAAGAAGTTCGAGTTTTTGTAGATGATGTTGATTTAACTCGACAGGGTAGAGCACACAAGGAACGATCCGGTTTCGAGGGGCCGTGGACTTCGAACCCTCTCATTTTCGACAATTCGTACTTCAAGTGAGTTAGAACCATTTATACTATGATAGTTTATTGATGATGTGATGTAATATTAAAAGATCCATTGGTTTCAACAGGGAACTCTTGGCCGGGGAGAAGGAAGGTCTTCTGCAGTTAGTATCAGACAAGGCACTCCTTAGCGATCCCGTCTTCCGTCCTCTTGTCGAGAAATACGCTGCGGTACGGTTTCCGATCTCGGGATCAATAGGATTTATGATTGTACACAAAAGGACTATTATCTTTGCTGATGATCAATGGTTCTGTTCACATTTCACAGGATGAGGATGCTTTCTTTGCTGATTATGCTGAAGCTCACCAGAAGCTTTCCGAGCTAGGGTAAGATTTTCCCACCTCCGTGTTCGTGTTTTCTTGTATCGGTCATCGCTAAGGATCGTTTCGTAACTTGTTGTATTGTGCAGATTTGCTGATGCTTGAGCTACTGGAATGGGGAGATGAGGGTGCTGGCTGTTGTTTATGTTGGCTTTGATTTGTAACGAAATGGGTCGGTGGGATTGGGTGGCTGTTTTTTTGGGACATGTTTGAATTTGGGCTTGCTTGTTGGAGAAGTTTGAGCAGAATGTAATGTTTGGTCTCCTTGTCTCTTTGGACTTAAATAATTTTGCTTGAAAACTTATGAATTTTTCATGTTTTTTATAGTTTTCATATCTATATCCTCCGCTGAAAAATCAAGACTAAGACAGGAGCAGGAATTTCGTGGGAAATATAGCACCTTTTTCGGATTAGAACCGATGACTTACGCCTATTTCTTAGGGCGTTTAAAGAGCGTGACTCTACCGCTTAGTTCAAAAAAGGGCTCATTCATGGAGCACCAAAATTTTAACCTATCTATATTTCTATCAACATTTTTATAGACATTAGCACGAGGAATTGAGTATTTCTTTTATCGAATAAATTTAATTGTAGAAAGTGAATGTTGGAATGAAGCCCGAGTAAGGTTTTCTAACTTTAGCGTTTACATTAACGTTGATTTTACTGAACCGTGACTTTAGACGTAAAATGACCAAAATACCCCTAAAATTATGTACTTGTGATCAAAGTGATCTCTAAATGTAATGAAATTTGACGAGTAGCTTTATGTCATGGTTTAGAGGGATTATACAAAGTTATAAGGTCATTGGGATATGTTAATGACTTCAACTTAAGCTACCTCGGTAAGTGACTTCACTATTGTTTGGGTTTGAGAATTGTTTGAAGCATGAGCGACACGTGTCCTGTGGTCTTTACATGCGTTGTACCTTGTAATTGTTATGTTTGCTTAAATGTTATGACATGCTACTGCGATGAGAAGTGTCATATTATGGATTGTCATGTTTACTTGATATGCTATCGATGAATGTGACATATTATGAAAGCATATTACCGTATAGTACATTTACCTTACGTAACGATATGAAATGATTATGTAATGTAAGAAAAGAACGAAGATCTGTATTGCACCACAAATACATGCTAGGATTTGAAATTATGGGGATCTCATGCATACTTTCGTGCATTAGGATACTTCCTCCTTGTGATTGGTACGAACGCGTACCTTACAACGTTTATATTCGCCATGATGTTATGATACAGTAATACACCTTGATACTATGTGTGCTCCATTCCCTCCGTGACATATCAGTAGCATGAGTGTACACAAGCTAAAGACCACGTCCAAAAGGGTATGTATACAAGCTTGCTTGGGGATCCATCAGCGCATCCAATACTGCTTAGACAGGAAGTTGAGGCCCATGTCATGAAATGATGTTTAATGATAGGTCTCAAAATGATTACGTGTGATTGCATTTCTTGACCCTAGTAAGTGGGATCGCTTAGTATTTTTTAAAATATTCAAGCCACGTGCTAACCTTACTTTTCAAGTAAAGGCAAGGTATCTATGCACAAATGACAACATCGTGATGATAAGATTGAAACTAGGATAGAATTACTCACGTTATTTGTAGCCCTAAAGTTAGATCCATATATTATTTATTTGATTGTAATTATCTTTGAGTAATATTGTTCTTAAATTGATTTTTTAAAATAAATAAACCCACTTAATGGGTAAAAATATTATTTTTTGTTAATGGTTTTATGAATTGTGTTATTCAACTCCTAAATCCTTCCATCCACAATAATTGAGGTATTGGCTATGTTCTTCTTACAATGAGTACACAATTCAAAAACGTTGCTTGATGATGAAATACTGAAACCACTTGGCTTATCCTTTACGAACAATCTTGAAATGCTGCGCGTGATAATAATGTTACTTGTACTCCAAACATAAATTGAGAGAGAGAGAAGAACATATTTAACTTTTGGGGAAAAAAACAATAAATCTAGTAAAAGATTGCCAATTAGCTTTTGATTTGTCCCCTAGTTTCGTTTTTTAGTTGTCATATCTACACGTGCTTGTGCATATAACAAAACCTCGAACATCAGTCTTTTAAGTCCATGACAATACATTTGGCCTTCTTTGATTCTGTATCTACTAGCTTGGAGTTGAAATCGAACTTGCGTATGATCCTTCTCGTACTCGTCAATAATATTCATGTTTCTTTATTGAACTTGCGAACACTTTAACTATTTTATATACTGTGGTACTAGTGATTGATCTGTTACTAGGGTTATTGGACCTCGAATCAAAAAGTCACTAATGATGTGCATCTTCATGCTACTTTGTGATTTTTTGAGTTGTTCATGTCGAGGATTGCATTTGTTACTAAGGTTATTGATATGAAGTCTTTTGGGGAAGCTCAAAGCAAACCGATATCATATTTATGCCCTTAACTTAGTCATATCAATAGAATTCTCAAGTGTCGAACAAAGAAGTTGCTAACCTCGAAGGTGTAGTCAAAAGTGACTCAAGTATCAAACAAACGGTGTTACTTTGTCCGAGGGGTCTAGAGAAAGGAGTTGAGCCTCGATTAAAAGGAGGAGGTCTTTTGCTGATTCCTAACCATTCATACGATGAAATATTTTCTTTACTACAAACAACCATACAACCGTAATTTAGCTACTACCATGTCTTTGATAATTTGTCGGAGTAGTTGAGGGTCCCACTAATTGAAGTCTCACATATCTCCCCTTGCAAAGCTCCCATAAATGTGGACATCTTAGAGAGATGTTTGGATTCATGATGAAGGCTACTTTATAGTGGAGTGTAACGACCCTATTTTTCGATTAAAAATAAGATCGTTAATGTATGCATAACCTTACTGCTACATGCGAAACCATTCATTTAAAATATTTTATAGCATTGCAATGCTATGAATTTGAATATTTATAGTAAAATATGTAAAAACAACCTCGTGAAAAACCAATAATGTGAAGATTAAATAAAAGTAAAATTAAAATAATGTCCGATCTAATCTAAGTACTACAAACAACATGAACGCATCTATCCTAGCTTCAATCTCATGGTCGTCACTGTGACATCGTCATTCATGCAGAGGTGTCTTACCTTTACCTAAAAAATAAGATTAACACTTGGTTTGACGGCCACAGGACTAAAGTTAGGGCAGAACATTCATGTTGTTTTTCTTTCGTAGCCTTAAACTTAGATCAAGACAAATACTTTACTCTCTTTGTTTTATTTAGATGAAGGTGTAAATCTAGAACATCATAATGAAATGTTTTAAATGAATGCTTCGTACCTCGAGAAAATAAAGTTGTGGCTATGCAAGCTTACTAAGTATGAGAAAATAAAGTTGGCTCACCTCGAGATGAGATGAACAACTTCCAAACCCCAATAGGGTATATGACATATAAGAGAATCGTTCAAAATTCCAAAGCCTTCCCAGAAGCTTAGATAGCCGTAGAATCAGGCTAAAACTTCTTAAAACCCATAGAAAAATCCATGGTAAACTTACTGGGATTGGATCTAATAAGAACCTACAAGTAGGCCGCTTATTAAGTATTTTTATACTCACCCCTTTACTTTTTTCAGTGTTCACAGGCTACCGGTCGAGGTGGAAGAGCATTCAAGAGTTACATAGAAATAGAGAAGGTCATCCCAAAGCGTCAGCTCGTCTATAAATGCTAGGGTCTCTCGTATCTTGTTTTGAAATTTGTATTCTAAACTGTTTCTCCATTTGTAATAAACTTGAACGACACCGATTTGTAACTAATATTCGTTTTCTTTTTAATGATAGTGCTATTTGTTTATCGTAATTCTATTTTAATAAACTTAATGAAGAGTTATTAGGTTATGAATGATGACAAAATTGAAAAAAGACATAGGCTTTAGTATAAGTATAGAGAAGTTGCCTTCCAGCCTTGGCAGTTGACTTCTTACATTTCTCTAAGCTCACGAACATGGAAGGAAGAGGAGACAGAGAAGAAGCTCAAAGTCCGAGGAAACATGGTGGTTGGATCACCTTCCCCTTCATCATAGGTTCTTTGTTTTTCTCTTATCTCTTCTTAATTTGTTTGTTTTTATGATGAGATAAGAGCAATTTTGTTGATGAAAATGATGTATAAAAACAGGATCTTTTGGTTGCACGTCGCTGGCCAGTGGTGGATGGCTTACAAACTTGGTTGTGTATCTGATTCAAGAGTACAACGTTAAGAACATCGATGCCACTTTGATTTCCAACGTTGTTAGTGGCTGTTTCAGTGTGTTTCCTGTCGTGGGAGCTGTTATTGCTGACTCTTTCTTGGGATCTTTCTCTGTCGTAGCTATTTCCACTTCCATTTCTCTTTTGGTAATTTCTTGATCTCATACAAATTTTTTCTCCAACTTTTTTATGATTTCATGCTTTGAAGTTTATGCCAAGAACTTCATTTCTTTATGTTCATGATAATTATTTAGTTTGTTTCTTTTTTTTTTTATAGAAATTAAAATATTTTCTCATCATTTCTTTAGGTTGGTCTCCTACTTTTTAGTTTTTAATTGGAGGATGCTTCATTTAGACATAAAACATGTTTTTGTCAATGTTTGGTTGAATATGTTATTGTAAAGTTTATTGGTACTTCCATGATTTGATGGATATTTTTTGAGATCTTACGTGGGTTATATGAGAGAATTAAGTCTTCTTTTAATAGAATGGAAATATCTCTCTAGTAGATGTGTTTTAAAATCGTGAGACTGACGGCGATACATAATAGACCATTGTTACAAATGATATTTGAGCTAGCCATCAAACAGTGCAAGGAACCGGTCAGAGTAGGGCTAGATCCTCTCCTTAGTAGACGCGTTTTAAAATCGTGAGGCTGATGGCGATATGTAACGGGTGAAAGTGGACAATATCTGCTAGCGGTATGCTTGAGTTGTTACAAATGATATCAGAGCCAGCCACCGACGGTGCGAGGCAGTAGTTGGAGTAGGGCTAGACCCTCTCCACAGTAGACACGTTTTAAAACCATAAGGCTGACAGCGATCTGTAACGGGCCAAAGCAGACAATGTCGACTAGCGGTGGGCTTGGGCTGTTACGGATAGTATCAGAGCCAGCCACCAGATAGTGCAAGACACTGGTCGGAATAGGGATAGACCCTCTCCATAGTAGACGCGTTTTAAAATCGTGAGGCTGACGACAATACGTAACGGGCCAAAACGGACAATATCTACTAGTAGTGGACTTGGGCTGTTACAAATGGTATCAGAGCCAGCTACCGAACGGTGCGAGGCACTGGTCGAAATAGGGTTAGACCCTCCTATAGTAGACGAGTCTCACGACAATACATAACAGACCAAAGCAAAAAATATCTGTTAGCGGTGAGCTTGGGCTTTTCAAACCTAAATGATCGCTCAATTATTGAATATACCCATGTTGGTAATTTTGCATCATTATTAACTTGATTATGATCTTATTTAGACAAGCATCAAAATTCTTGTTTTTTTTTTCAAATAATAAAATATGATTGGTTTTGCAGGGCATGATTTCACTAACATTAACATCAACAATCCAATCTCTAAGGCCTCAACCATGCGACCACAACAATGCCTTAATCCCATGTTCTTCATCTCCTTCAAACCTCCAATACTCAATTCTATACTTAAGCCTTATCCTCGCATCTCTTGGAGCTGGTGGCTCTCGTTACACCACAGCAACCTTAGGAGCAAACCAACACGACAACATAAAAGACCAAAACATTTTCTTCAATTGGTTTTTTGTCACTCTCTACAGTGCGTTTCTTGTTAGCTCCACTGCCATCGTCTACATTCAGGACAATATCAGCTGGGGATGGGGCTTTGGCATCTCCCTTGCATCCAACGCCATTGGCCTAGCCATTTTCTTGCTCGGAACTCGCTTCTATCGCCTTGATAAGCCGAGAGGAAGCCCCTTCACCACACTCGCTCGAGTTCTTGTCGCCGCCTCTCGGAAAAGGCTGACAACACCACTCTCGACCACCGCGGGGAATGATGATGGTTACTATTATGGTGAGGAGCATCATGTGGGGAAGGTGGTTGTGGATGGAGTGCTCACAAAGAGTTTTAGGTACGTCAAAGCTTCAATCACTTTACTTTTCTTTTTTATTTGGATTGTGGGTCTAGTTTACAAAAAGAATAATAATGAATAATGACTACAAAAATAATTAAAATTATAATAAAAAAATAATGATTAGATATGTTTATAGGGTGGGACGAGAACGCTCCTTTGTTCATGTCCCTATTACCTGTTTCATTCTGTTCGGTTAAATTCTCTATTTATTTCTCCGAAAATTTTATTCATTTTTTTATTTTTTTATTAAAAATGTAAAATATTTTAATAAATTCAATAATATTTCAAAATAAGAATATAATATTAAGTTCTACTAAATGAATAGAAACAAGAAATATATACGTACGTATGTATGTTTTGTGTCGGTATGAAATTTGATGGGGACAATGAATATAATCTTCGTCCTTGACCCCATTTAACTAATAGGAAGAAATCTTTTCCCCCTTTTTTTGTTTCCCGTTTAAACAAAAAAATTTCATGAACCTCCCCCGAACCTGACCCCACAGATTAAATAGATTATCTTTAGAGATCTCGAAAACTTTATTATTGGAGTTAGAATAGATAACCAAAACTAACCGATCTTGTCCCATTAGGAAAAGGAGAAAAAAAAAGTGTTCTTGATTTGGAGTCAACTTTGTAGAAACGCCAAGATCAATAATTGAATTTGTTGCATAAATGAAATGTGAAATAGATTGATGAGTGCCAACCACTATAATGGCATATATTAAAGTAGGAATGTGTCACATGTTATGATTAATATATATATTCTCTTGTCGTATGTTTTGTATTTTATCTAATAATTATTTCTTATTGATGATTTAGTTCTTCACTGTCGTAACATATAGTTAAGTTCTATGTGTCGAGAGAAGAAGCATAGAGCTTAGCTTTGATATAAGCTTTGATATAACTTTTCACTCACGAAAGCTTTGATAGGTGTTTGAATCGAGCCGCTCTAATAACTGATGGGGATGTTCATTTGGATGGCTCGATTGCAAAACCTTGGAGGTTATGTAAAGTAAAAGAAGTGGAAGACTTCAAAACCCTACTTAGAATCTTCCCTCTATGGTCGACGAGTATTTTCCTCTCGGTCCCTATAGTAATGCAAGGAAGCTTAACCATCCTTCAAGCCCTAACCATGGACCGTCACCTCGGCCCGAGCTTCAAAATCCCTGCTGGGTCTTTCATTGTCGTCGTCTTCATCTCCACCACTACCTTTCTAGCCATAATCGATCGGTTTCTCTACCCGATTTGGCAGAGGTTGGTCGGACGACTTCCTCGACCACTCCAACGAGTCGGTCTCGGTCATGTTTTCAATTTTGTTGGGATGATAGTATCAGCATTGGTAGAATCCAAGAGGCTAAAAGTTGCCCATGCCCATGCACACCACCTTGATGGCCAGCCTGAGGCAATAGTGCCAATGTCAGCCTTGTGGCTTTTCCCACAGCTAGTTTTGGTTGGCATTGGAGAAGCTTTTCATTTTCCGGGTCAAGTTGGATTGTACTATCAAGAATTCCCGACGTCGCTGCGTAGCACGGCCACGGCGATGATCTCGTTGGTCATCGCCATTTCATATTATCTTGGCACGGCTTTGATTGATCTACTTCATAAGGTTACGAGATGGTTACCTGATGATATCAATCAAGGGAGACTTGACAATGTTTATTGGCTCGTATTTGTGATTGGTGTCATTAATTTTGGATATTATTTAGTTTGTGCTACGTGGTATAAGTATCAAAATGTTGAAATCGCTATGGAGGATGATTCTATAATCGAAGACTGAGAGCTCAGGTTAGTGTCGAAGAATCGAGATCGAAGTTAAATTATTAAGCTATGCACTGATATGTGGTTTGTGGCAATATGTAATTGTTATTACTCTTTTACCCTTACTCGATATATAGAGGGAAGATCTACAATTATATGATATTATCCACTCTAAACAGTCTAATACTAATACATCAATAACAACGGTTACAAATGTTAAATATTTTTAATTTTCATAATAATTTTAAAAGTACCGACCAAAAAATATCAACTTGAACTAATCCAGATTTTTTATTTTTCATAAATTCAACCAACCTAACAAAAAAAAAATCTAACCCAACTCAATTTTACCTTTGTGGTTTAGGTTGGTTCGCTGGGTTGAGTTGAATTGTGTTATCGAGTAATATGAACACCTTTAACCGCAAAGAAACCAATCTTAGAAGCTAGCTAGAGCATTATAGGGCCGAAGTAGTAAAAAAGCCCAAAATTTGAACCCCTCAAAACAAGCCATTTTGAGTCCAACCAAGCCTAAATTTGAGGCCCACCTCGATGGTCAATTAAACATGTCAAAGCAAGCCTAACAAGGTTGACCAAAACGTGGCATGATTAGAGTGCTAGGGTGTTGCACGTTATCTTGTTAGTGCCTCTCTAGCACGTTTTGTCTATGTGTTTTAGTTCTTCTCTTTCTCGGGAGCTTAGGGCCCCTTCCTAGCTTATTCTTCTCTTTCTTCGAAAGCAGTGAACACGAGCCTTGGAGGCTAAGTAGACTTATTGAAAATTGTTCGGTTATTCTTGGTGACCTAAAGATTCGAGGTAGACCTAATGATGGGTAAAAACTTAAACACGCTGATATTAGCCTAAAGCACAACGTGACCTATGTGTAACTCCTTATAAGTTTAAGAACCCAAGCCCAAAAGTAGGGGTGTATATGGTTCGGGTTGGGTTGGGTTGAGGAATTTTTTTGACCCATCTCGAAAGTTCGGGTTGGTTGGATTGGTAACCCAACCCAACCCAACCCGAAATTTTTTTTGACCCATCTCGAAAGTTCGGGTTATTTATCCACAATTTATAATTATTAGGATACAATCTTAAATAAAATATATTAAAAGTTCGCACACAAACACAAATTAATAAAAAAAACAAGTAAAAATTACATATTAACCTCCAACATTGTCATAAAGACGAAATATACTTCAAGAATTCTCTACATATTAACATAGTTCAACATTGTCATAAAATTAAACAGAGCATTTTAATTGAAATATGCTTACTTCAAGAATGAGTAATGTATTTGTTGAAGGCGTCAAACTCAAGCATGTGTCCTTAGCACCATCTGGCAAACCCATTAATGCAAAAAAAATTCTTAATATATTTTATATATTTTTATTTGGCTCTTCGAAAGTTTTGTCCCACGAACCTGAAACCGAATCGATTAAGTTCAGGTTCAGAAAAATAAACTCAATCCTATCCGAAATGATAATCCAACCCAACTCAATCCTTATAGTTCGGGTTGGGTTGGTCTAGGTTGTCGGATTGAATATACACCCCTACCCAAAAGTTAGTTGAAATGAGATAATATATAGTTCATTCATCGTTCATATCAATTATTGAATTTCGAGATAAGAGTAGTAAGTGTTAGATGACAAGAAGGGCTAGAAAAGAAGGGAAAAAAGAGAGAGCAAGTTGATGAAGAAGATGACCGACCACATGAACGGTCCAAATAAGTAAAATGGTCGTATCATTCCTATTGTAGTGGTATTAGCATGTTATTGTGTAACATTCCAAACTCATCGCTAGTAGATATTTATCCATTTGGCCCGTTATGTATCACCATCAATCTCACAAATTTAAAAATGTGTCTAGTAGTGAGAGGTTTCCACACCCTTATAAAAAAATGTCACCTCTCCAATCGATGTGGGATCTCACAATCCACACCCTTCAGGGCCCATCGTCCTCGCTGGCACACTGCTCGGTGCTTAACTCTTATACCATTTGTAACAGCCGAAACCCACTGCTACCAGATGTTGTTCGTTTTGATCCGCTACGTATTGTAGTCAATCTCACGGTTTTAAAATATGTCTGATACGTAGAAGTTTTCCATGCCCCTATAAAGATCTCCGACCAACATGGAATCTCTTTAAATATAGTAATTTAGGTGTCATTTTGTCACATTAAAACTAAATAGGACATTGTATCCAAAAAAAAAAATTCAATACCTTTGTCCAAGCTGGTCACTTGGGGGGTAAAAGAGTCATTTCAGGAATAGACACGTGGTGGTATTTGATTGGAGATACCCGCTCCAACTCCGCTGTCGCGCATGACCGCCATCATGATATTGTGGAAAAAGTAAAGCCACCGCTTACCAAGAGAGCAAGAATCGAAGGAGAGAGAGAGAGAGAGAGAGAGAGAGAGAGAGAGGAATATCTCAAAAACATTTCGCGATTTCTTTTCTACCCATCTCACAGCTAAGATTGTTCTTCCTCTTCTTCTGTTTCTCTTCCTAGATCCTCTGATTCAATTTCCCTACTCAAGCTTCAGCCATGGTAAGCCGCTTTTTACTGATTCCTGTTCTTCTGCTGATTTCTACTTCATTTGTTTCTTGATTTTGTACTCGATTTCTTTTCTTTTTGCTTGATTTTGATCTCTGATGCTTGTGGATGTGCTTTTAGGATCTGCTTGCTGTGGATCTGTATTCTGTTCTTGTTTTGATCTAGATTGTTTGAGTTTTTTTGTCCGATTTGCCTTGGGATCGGATTTGGTTGATTTTAAATTTGTTTAGGATTGATTTCAGTATCATCGGAAGTACTTGGAGAGTAGTTGTGTTGATTGGATGTGATCGTGACTGATCTCTGATTACCGTGGTTTAGTAGCATCTCAAAATTGATCGTTTGTGTTTTAATCGGGCTGGGAGATGGGTTTCGGTGTCTTGTTGTGCTTGGTTCTGTGGATTTGGATGTTTTGGTGATTGAGATGATGCTTTGGTAGTTGGTGGAAAGATGGTGATACTTCGCGTATATCATCAAGATGGTAATCTTGTGAAGTGAATTGAGTGCGTGTATTACTGTTGATAATCCGGTACATGATAATTACTCGATAGGGGCCGTGTGCCTCCAAATGAGTCCCCAATAGACTCGTAGAAATAGAGGGAAGAATTGGGAATGAAATGGATTTTTGATATCTAATCATGATTATGCCCACTTTCAATTTTCAATATTGCATCAAATTTCGAAAGTTAATACTTCTCTCTTGAGAGTGAAAATGTAACGCTATAGCGAATAGGCTGTTGAACGCGACTCTTTGCGTGAAACACTTGCACTCTTTATTAATTGAGACTGCTTGGGCTTGGATTTCCTATGGATATTTATAGGCAACTACTCATTTATGCCAAAAACAACGAATGTTATCTCAATGATTGTGAGAATAGGCTCTAAAGAACCATGTGGAGATCATACTGGTAACCAAGCAGATATTATAAATATCCAACTCTAAGGGGAATTTTACTAAAAGTGATGAAGGGCAGTGTGAATTACTCATTCAGGCATTTGATTTTGCATACTTTTCAGAGCTTTGGCTCATTGCCGTTAATCTATATCTTCATTTTCTTACATTTTTTTCGTGCAGGCTAACGCGGCATCTGGTATGGCTGTACACGATGACTGTAAGCTTAAGTTCTTGGAGTTGAAGACCAAGAGAACTTACAGATTCATTGTATATAAGATTGAAGAGAAGCAGAAGCAAGTCATTGTGGAAAAGGTTGGCGAGCCAGGTCAAAGCTATGAAGATTTCACAGCCTGCCTTCCTGCTGATGAATGCCGATATGCGGTTTATGATTTTGACTTTCTGACTAAAGAGAATGTTCAGAAGAGCAGAATTTTCTTCATTGCTTGGTAATGTTATGATAAATGAAAAAAGAAACAAATTCTGTGTTATTATCTGTTCCTCACTCGACCCGATCACCTATTTAAACTTCCATCACTAATCATCATTATTCTCTTTTCTTGTTGCAAAGGTCTCCCGACGTGTCGAAGGTAAGAAGCAAGATGATCTATGCAAGCTCAAAGGACAAGTTTAGAAGAGAATTGGATGGCATTCAAATTGAGCTGCAAGCTACTGACCCATCTGAAATGGATCTCGATGTTTTTAAGAGCCGTGCGAAATAAGAAGCCTCTTTGTTATGAACTTCTTGTGGTGTCTGTTTTACATTGTGAAATGATGTTATTGAATGTGCTTTGATTACATATTGGGTTGTTTTCTAAGTTTTGTCTTATAGAATTATGTCCATCTGGAACAATCTTCGGTCATTCCCCCCCCCCCACCACCTTATATTCTATGATTTATCGTGTGGAATTAATGCAATATCTCCTTATGTAACGCTACATGATTTTGGTCAGGATTTACATCTTTTATCATGCACAGCACATTTAAAGATAATGTTGACTTTTTTTTTTCTAGATCCAAGGATGCTTCTGAGCTGAATGGTTGCAATGTCAACGCTTTCTAGACGACACAGCAGCATAGGCTTTCTAACCGGGTTGACTCGATTCTCATTTGGTAGCTCCTCTCTTCTTTGGTTCTTGTTATCAATTCTTGAAGAATTTAGATGTCATTAACATTTTGCAACTGTGAGGTAGAAGAATCCAAGATATTCTAGGACTACAATAAAGATTGATCCATCTTCTTTAGGAGGTTATGATCTATTTGATATCTTTTTTTTCCTTTTTTGGGCATTAGGGTTTAACCATTTCTACAATATGCCTCTATTTTCCCAGCTTCTAGTGTTGGATTTGAAGGTTTATTCAGTTTGGCCAAGCTTCAAACATTTTTTAAAGGATCAAATAATGGAAGATGGGCTAAATTTTAGGTATGTATGTTTGAGAAGTGTACACATGGAAATCCAGGGGTTCAAATTGGCTTCCACATCTCTAACAAAGTTTAGGCTCGACCAATCTTCTACTTAGGAGACTACTCTATAACTGCCTTTTGTTAGGAATCACGAACCTCCACAATAGTATATGATATTGTCCACTTTGAGTATGAGCTTTCATGACTTCGCTTTTGGTTTTCCCAAAAAGTCTCGTACCAATAAAGATAGTGTTCCTTTGTCATTATTCCATGATCTTCCTCTTAATTAGCTAACGTGAAACTACTCCTTTTAATAATCCTTAACACCTTCGAGTGTAAATGTGGTATCTTGTCTTCTTGGTGAACTCCAAAATTTCATCTACAAATTTTGGCAACTTGCAAAATTTCTCATCTATATGCCCAAGGTTAAGCAATTTGTGTGGGCTTGTCTTCTATACACGAAAGGCACTGCCCACATATTCCCACTTCATCTGATGTGCAACATCTTATTCCTTAACAACCAATTGCACCGGAAGATTCCCTGCTAGTGACTTGATTTTCGAGATCAATTTGTAAAAAAAACAAGGGAGGTATTTGTTGTGAGAGTCAACATATAGGATTTGGAAATTAAGATACCGACATGAAAGATTGATTAGCGGAAGGTGAGTTTTCATCTTCGAACGTAAGAAACTTATCGAACAATAGTGGCATTTAAGTTTGATTGTTTTGATCTTGTTTTGTTTCGTCTCTTCCTTCTCATTTGTTCACGTCTTAACCATGATTTTTGTCAATTATCCGAGAGAGGATGAGGCTCAAAATGTTGTTCACCAACCCATATGTTGTGGTTTACTTACTCCTTCGAAAATTTTGTTTCTTCTAAATTATTTTGATATTTTGTTCTAACTCGAAAATATGTTTGAGTTTCTAAATCATTTTGTATGTATTTAGACTCGTTAGGAAAAATTTATTACTTAAACTTTGGTTTAATAAAGATACCTGTTACCAGTTACGACCCCAACCATGATAAAAGACAATTGAAAAAAATGTCTTTAGGATTTTTTGTGAATAAATCAAAGCTAAGTTTTCAAAAAAAAAAAAAAATATATATATATATATATATATAGTTTGCGAAATGAGCCCCTTTGATAAAGTACATTCGTCTAGCTTAAAATGCGATTTATTGGATATGAGGCATAAGAGCCTCCTATTCATTGCATAGATGTTTACATGGCTGGAGAGAATAAGGAAGGTTTCCTTATTCTCCGTTTAAATGATAATTTTTCGCTTTATTTTGGATCAATCTTTGCTAGATTTGGCTTTACGAGTTAAATGAACATCTCTAGTTTATCGTATAAATTGATATGTAGGCATTATACTACCAAGTGAAATCGATGACTTCCTGATCACGACCAGCTAAAGTCCCATTAATGAGTTAAGTAAAATCTCCTCAAGAAATATAAGGTTTGCATGAAGTTGATTTTGAGTCCTCATTCAAGCACGAATGCCTTCAATGTTTCAAATTTAAAATATTCCATTGCATAATTTCGTAAGAAACAAAGTCATTGGCTTGAAGGTTCAAAATTATATCAACTACCTCGGAGTAATAATCCATAAACCAGTTAGTTACTCTCAGTTGTACTAGATACTCCAAATGTACTTGTTCTCCCTTCTTCCTTGCTATGGAAAGTCTCTGTAAAATAACTCTGATGGGAAGAAAGAAGAGGGCATTAAGAGATTCTCGTACCCCAACTTAGACAAGATCCCTCCATCACCCTAGAATGAAAGGGGCAATCTCGTAATTTTTTGGTATGTGAAGATATGTTCGGTTCTATGTACTATTTTTTTCATTAAGATGAGCACCTCAATTTGTGCTCTTGAGAGTTCGTTGTCCATATAATGATAAGGGATGTATGAATTCTCGAAAAGGGAGAAATCGAGGTTGTCTCCTCGCTTTCATGATTCTACGAGTCATAAAAAAGTTGAATCTATGTTGGATCTTACATAAATTGTCCCATTTATCATCGTAGGAAGATTGGTTTCAAATCCCAGTTCAAATAGGAGAAGTACACTATGTCAACATGTCTTTGATATTCCACACTTTAGGGTTAGACACCTACGAGCCCATTGACTTATCCATCCAGTGAGACTTTGCACTGCCCGTACGTGTGAATTTCTTTAAGAAGTGCCTCAGGGGATGGGGATCGTAGTGCGGAACTTCCATCAGTGCTGGCACCTCTTGAGCCGCCCTTAGTTATTGATTTGCGACGACATAACTAGCAAGATAAAAACCCTCACGACTCAGACACAACGAGCAAGTAACCTGATAGCCTTAATGGGTTCCCTTCACCACTCCCGTGAAGATGGTCTAAACGGTTCAAAAATACTCATCTTACTACATAAAACATTTACTTAGCCTCTACTCAAACAATTTCATAACAGTTATCAAACCAAAATTTAGATTTAGATTTAGATTTGGATTTGGATTTGGCATAACATTCTTGAGTTGTTAGATTGTTGCTAAATAATTTTTGAATATTCAAACCGATCTAACAAAGAAGTAATTTTAATGGGGTTTGATTTAGCATATTTCGCTGGATCTTCCTCTACCTCTGTCCATTGTTGTAACCCTAGGAATTCTCTCTCCGATCCACGACCACCACTCCTCCGCTCATCAATGGCAGAGCCTCTCGATATGAGCTTAGATGATATCATCAAGAACAACAAGAAATCCGGATCCTCGAACTTCAGAGGTCGTGGCGGAGCTTCTTCTGGACCAGGTCCCTCTCGCCGCTTTCGCAATCGCGGTCTTAATAGAGCAGCGCCCTATTCTACTGCCCAGGTGAAGGATTTGGGTTTTAACATCCCGCTTTCGATGAATCTTACTACCATCGCCATCCTCTAGCTCTTGTTGTTGTTGTTGTTGTTCTTCTTCTTCTACTACTACTTCTACCAGTTTCTCGTTCTTTTCAAAACGGACTTCGGGTATTTTGTTTTTAATGTTCTGAAAAACATTGGGGGTTTAGGCGCCGGAGACGGCTTGGTCACACGACATGTTTGTAGATCATGGTGCGGCATATCCTTCACAGCCTGCACGGGCCTCTGCTATCGAAACCGGCACCAAGCTTTATGTTTCTAATTTGGATTATGGTGTTTCCAACGAGGATATCAAGGTATTTCAATTTTGGATTTGAGGCCTTGAACATGAGATTGTTTTTTTTTTTTTGTATGTATTGCTAAGACTTTACTGAAATTGTATATGCAGGAACTGTTTTCAGAAGTTGGTGATCTCAAACGATATTCTATCAATTATGATAAAAGTGGGAGGTCAAAGGTATGTTTAAAGTGTGAAGAACACAAGAGCTTTTGTTTCTTTTTAGCCATATTCTGGCTTTAGTTTGAGTTTTTGTTCTTCGTAGGGAACAGCAGAAATTGTTTTTTCACGACAAGCAGATGCGCTTGCTGCTATAAAGAGGTACAACAATGTTCAGCTAGATGGGAAGCTCATGAAGTTGGAGATTGTAGGAACTAACATCGTGACACCTGCTGTTCCTGCTTCTGCAAATGGCAATTTTGGGAATCCAAATGGATTTCGAAGAGGGTATACATTTTCTCTCTTCACTTGTCCTTATTTCTGATTTTTCTATTTGCGTTTACAAATGCAATCATCTATTAACGCAGCTAATGTATGTGTTCAGAAGTAGATATAAATTTTATTTGCTTTATAATACTTTTGTAAGGCCATGATTGAAGTAATTGTTTTTAGAGTTGTATTGGTTTTTGACGTAGATTTTTCAACATTTTCTTGTTATTCTGACTTAGTTCATAGAGAAATCATTTTTCATTGCTTTTTGACATGTCCGTTGAAAGCTTTGAAAGGATTAAATTGAACATAAAAATATTTAATTTCAACAACTCGTTAAGATATGTGTACTTAAAAGTAGGTATTTCTCGTTTGACACTATGGACGTAGTAAATAGTAACCAATATGATGTTAATCGAAGAAAGATGGTTACACTTGTATGAGAAAATTAGGGATTATATATATCTAAATATCTATCTATCTATATTTATATTATGATAATTAGCCGAACTTTCATTGAGAAAAATTTAAAGAATATTAGGGCATAAAAAAGACTCACTTACGGAGGCAAAATTGTATCCACAAATTATTGTCAATTTTGTTTATGATGACAATGTGTTTCTAGGAGCAGTTGCATTCAACAACTTTTATTTCTCAAATTTGCGTTTGATCGCATATAATTTGCTGCTTCCTCATGTTTATTGACATTTTTTAACAACTGTGGGTATCTGACCAAGTTTTTCACACCTTGGCTAGCATTGTCAAAAAACCACATGAACCTACTTCATTTGGTGTTGGAATGCTGGGTGTTATTTTCATTAGGTATTTGAGTTTACAAATTGTCTATTTGACCACTACCCGAATTTGTTGTAGGTTAGCTTACAAGATTTCTATTCAAGTTCTCCAATAAACAAACGACATTAAGGGATCCGGTTCTGCCACATTTTATGCAAGAAAAAACTTAACATGGGTTCCTTCTTTTGTGCGTCAATCCTTTTAGAAAAGAGTCTAGTTAATGATAACTTGGATAGTTTAATGACCAAGATTATTGAATTGAAGATGAACGATTCCAAGTTGCAAGAAGTTTGTGTGTCATTGTTGAGGTGTATGTTATTATGTGGAGCCTTTGGGGAGGGAGTAATGGCAGGCTCATTAGAGGGCTTGAGTGGTCTTTGGTTTTGACTCCTTATTAGGTTCAACATCTCTTTGTGGGTCCAGAATCAGCTTATGTTTTGATCATATGATTCTGTAAATTTTGATATTTAAGCTTTTCCATATTGATGATGAATTATATGAAAAAGGTAAAATGTTCACCAAGCCTGCCTTATTAACATTTATCACACAGATATTTTAATTGTGCGATGTTTGATAGAAGCCGTTCTTTCTTTACCTTGGTACCCCTATGACTTCTGCCTGCCTCTGAACAGTTCTGGTAGTTATTTGTGTACATGGTCATGCATTACGTTGTTCTTTTTATGCTTCAGTTGGTGCTTAAGTATGAAGCTGATAATTATGTTTTATGTATTTTAATTGAAATTGCTGACATCTAGACTTTTAATCTGATTTTCATTGCTATTATTGATTCTCTTAATCAGCATGCACTTAATAAATTTTCATTTGATTTTAACAGTGGACATGTACTGGGCCGAAACCGGGGTGGTGGACGAGGACGTGGTCCTGGAAGAGGAGGACGTGGACATGGGAGTAGCAGCAGAGGTCGTGGGGAGAAATTATCTGCCGAAGATCTAGATGCTGATTTGGAGAAGTATCATGAAGAAGCCATGCAGATCAATTAAATCATTTGGTGTGATTTCCTGGGGCTTGATATTCCCAACTTCGTTAGGTGCTTGATGATAAATGTGATAAGGATACCATTTTCTATTTTGCGAGTCATATCATGAAGCCCTGACCTTGACAGTACCACTAGACCTTGCTAGGATGTGGAGTTTGGGCTTCAATTGTTATTTGTTGCAGTAAACTACAAAGAGGTGTTATATATGCTTGAATCTGTAATCTCCCGTTACTTATCTGTTTCTTAATATTCTCCAATCCTATTTATTTTCCATGAAAGTTGCACTGGAACTGGGAAAGTTGCTCACACTCCTTGTCGACATGGAAGGATTTGGGCGCTTGACATGAGAAGTATTGGTTATAACATAATCAACCACATCTTCTGGTGTTGAGGCCAAAGTTCTGGTACACCGTTTCTAAATCATAATATTTCCTTGATGGAATGATAGATATAGCCGAGAATCTATTCTGAATATGTTGATTATTGGGTTCTGACTGCAGAATTTCTACTTATATTGCTTTGCAGCGTTTGGTTTTATGAATTAAAAGTAATGTGTTAAGATCTTCTACTTGTTGGCATGGAGAGGAAGGAAGGGGTGTGGAGATGATTACCAAGCAAGTGTTCAGGAGTTGGCAATTTGTAACAGCCGGAGGCCACCGTTAGCCGATATTGTCTGCTTTAACCCGTTATGTATCGCCGTCAGCCTCACGGTTTTAAAACGTGCCTACTAGAAAGTGTTCCTACGCTCTTATGAGGAATGCTTCGTTCCCCTCTCCAACACGTGGGATCTCACCTAATGAAATCTCACATAATTGGTATGACACTGTTACATTTATTTTTGGTGTATGCTTTTTACTATCACGTGGTTGTAGTAATGACACTATTATAGGCTGCAGTCTCGTTTCTTCCGCATATTTTGTTTTCAAATAAGGCATATACCATGCAATAATGTTGAGTTTCTTCTGTACCTTAAGAAAGCCAAAAAAAGTAGGGGAATTATGCTACTCTTGTCATTTGAACTCCTAGTTTCTTCTGTACATAGGGGAATTAGCATAGAAACTCGATTGCAGTTGGTCGAAGTGCACCGACATATCTGAGATTCAATTTATATTTTACAAAACTGGTCCATTTTAGTTAGTTTTTGCTTGTTATATTATAGTTATAGTTCAGATTTGTATTTTTGCTTCTATATTATGGTTATCATTCAGATTTTTACCTTGTACACTAATGTATTCAATCTTAGCTTAGTTTGTTCATAGTTGATGAAGAAATGGAGATGATTGATCATTACTAGGGTCGTAACCAATTCAATGGAAAGATCAAGTCGACTTTTGTTCGCCACATCAATCATGGAGGTAAAAAATAATTTTACTCCTGGACCTTTTGCAATAGATTTTGATAGAAGTATCAATAGTTAGGTGGAAATATTTGAATACAAGCTCATATTGCATATGAAAGTCGGAAGGAAGATGTTCATGCCAAATGAAACAACTTTGTAGGAAAGGGGCTGTTTGAGAATGATAGTGCAGATGTGTTGGGCGTCCTTTCATGTACACAGCTTGTAACAACTTCTGATAATTGTAGGGTAGATTCGCAGCTTCGCTCAGCAGAAGAGCTTGACTTTCGAAACTCGTAGAAACAAAGAGGGTCACTCTTTCATTCACTTGCTCATGAACTTGCAGCTTAGCCAAAAGCGACGAATGGAGAAGTGCAGAAGTTTTGCTGTTTTTGCAGCCTGGAAATAATTAGTACGGTCATTTTGTATCTCTTAAAGATGGTTTAGGCATATGTACCTTGTAGGAGATTTATTTGCTGTGAGCCCCTTTTCTCCTCGATCTACGTAAATAAAATGGAGAAGCCAATAATTCATCATAAAAGAAAGGACTCACTGAGCGAGAGTATTAGGTGCTTAATATGGCTCTGAGTTGGCCAAAGGTATTTCTTTGATGGTTGTCCTTGTCTCGATGATATTAATAGCTTGACCTTTTCTTTGTCTCGATAATATTAATAGCTTGACCTTTTTCTTGTCCTGCCATGGGACTTCCTACATTAATTGATCTTTCGGACTACTTTTTTTCAAATCTGAATTATGAGTACACGTCTTCGGATTAGGGAATTAACTCAAATATACCTCTAATAGATTAAGTAATATTTGATCCAATAATAAATGTTTGATGGAGATTAAGATTAGTTGACGATGATAAAGGTGAATAACAACACACAATATGAAATGATAGAAAATCATAGAACTTAAATAATGAATAACAAATTGAAATTAAAATACCAATAAAAATGAAATCTAGATTTGAAATTAAAAAAAATTTAACCATTAATGAATCAATATTTCCAATGAAACATAAAGAAAAATAGCAATAAATGTTAATAATAAATAAGTAGCATTTTAATTTATTAAAAAAAGTATAAATTATTTATTTATTAATAATTCTTATAGATATATCCAGACATTGACATTTTATAAACGTTTCACTGTATTTCTAAAATTAAGACTCGACATTTCGATTCACATTGACATTTTTTAAAACCTTTTCTCAAAATTAATATTAAACTATAATTAAATATAATATCAAATATTTGTATGAAGAAAAAACAAACCATGATAGTAACAAATATGTTATTTTTTTAATATTATTTTTCTCACACTAATCACCGGGATGTCATTAGTCATTTTATCATTTCTTAATTATTGAATTTCAAACTTTCCTTCAACATAATTAGAAAGGTCAATTTCACTACAAGATAAATTTCAATATAATTAGAAATGTCAATTTCACTACAAAATTAAAAAATTTCGTTTAAACAGTGAATAAGGAAAGATGCAAAAAGAAATTCATTCCCGCTAGCTAAACGGAATCAAGAACGAAAATTGCATCTATGATCCACTTCTCTATACATACATTAAGTATTGAAGATTAACATTTTAAATTTTAAAATTTATGTTCAATATTACATTATAATTTTTTTTCATTTAAAATATTATCAATTATTATGTTTTTTTTTAATTCTTTATTTTTTGTTTTAAAAAAAAACATAGAAAAAATTTCCCACAAATAACCCGATCTCCACAAAAATTTCCCATGGACAACTCTAAACACAACATATTATTAGTTCATCACACTACCAAGTCAACATTCTATAGGCACTGAAGACCAACTCAAACTACTCTTTTCTCTTAAATCATCTCCACATCTATATAATCTTCAAACATTCATCATTCATTTATTGCTTCTTGTCTCGAAGACATTTTCAAGCTCGTTTTAGAACTTTACAGAGACCACACAAAAAACAACAGCATAGATATCAACTTCGATCATTTATTCTTTCTTGAAAATAAGAAATGTATTCAACCACTCCCTACCACAAAGTAGGGGAAGGCAGAGCCATTGAAAGGTGACTAAAACACTAGAAACGACCTCCAAAAAGACCTATTCCTTAGTGTTCTAATGAAGAAATAGAACAAGGGAAATTTCCGTTCAATCAAATATATGTTCTTTCTTTTCTTGTTTCTTCTTCGACACTTATCAATGATAGTCAACACAAGACGGGTTTGAATAGGTAAAAGATACATATACAGCCCCCAGAAAAAAACGAGGGACGACAGCATGGCATGAGGGTAAAAAATGTCTTTTGTGTACATATACAAACTTAGATTCTACGCCAATTATTTGTGCTGTTTAGGATTCTCATATCTCGAAAGGACGAACCGAAACAAGGAATGAAATACTGCCCTTATACATGATAATACAAAGTTCCAACAAGATGAAGGCCAGTACCATGGGTACAATAATCTGAAAAATAGGCTTATAAGATGCCTAGGATATCGTCCAACCTGTACCAAAAATCCTTGATCAAACTTTCTAATTTTCTTAGCATAACAATATTACTATTGTAGTGGCACCCGACAAAAGGTATCAAATTACATAAAAGGAACATGCTTAATAGTTGTTTCATTGAGCAACGACATTCGGTTTAATCGATACTTACTGGAAACAGCAAATCTAGAGCATCCCATGCAGCGTGTCGAACAGCTCTGGTAGGATACATGGGGCCACCTGGAGGGGTGAAGCTATACAAACAAGTTTTTAGCCTTGTACTTGTGGTCATTCTGAGTTCCAAACCTTAAATAAATTAAAAGCATTGATTAGAACAGTTAGAATAGCAACTGTTGAATCTCAATGAGTCAGCCAATTACCTTGGAGAACAATCAGGTGTGAAAAATAATGCAGCAGTACAGGTTCCACCTTCAGCTTTTGAATCTGACCAATGTAATATTTTGATACCAATATTGAACTTGCGGATGTTTTTAAGCATGAAAGTAGCAAAACAAGCTATTTCATGATATAAAAATATTACAGAAACCGATCGTAATTTAATAATATAAGTCCATCGATACAAAAGACGTGTTCATAGAACATTTTGCGATGCTACACGAAAATTTACCTGATCAGTAAGTTCAATCACAAACAAGTCAGCTGGACCACCTATCAGTATGGCATTTGGGAAAGGAGGAAATTGCTTTAAAAAACTTTTAAGCTTATCATCTGAAACACAGCAGATTATTATATAGAGATGGCCACCCAAGTACTGGAACCTTATTGGGGGAAAAAGTCATATTAAATTGAATAGATTTCCAAATGGCATTTATAGCAAAAGCTCACCTGAATCATAGAAAATTAAGAACCTTGAAAGTAAAAGAAAAAGATCTCTTTGAACCTGCAATTGAGAAAAAGATGAGGAAGAAGAAAGAAAGGAGCCAATTTCAGAACAATTCTCTTGAAAATAGCTGCACTAAAGATGGTACAAGTACAATTGTAAAACAATCTAGATTGTATAGTATTCATAAAAGAATAAACATAATAACTTACTTTAATCATGCAAAATTAAGGAAACCATTCAACTCTAACCTGTATGGGGATTTTGTTCAATCTGGCTGGTTGAAATGCAACTTCTCCAAGAAGATACTGAACATCAAGGGGATTAGCACAGGTTACTGAGAATTCACATGTCACCAAAAGAGAGGAAAATATTCTTGACTGAACTCTTACATGAAAGAGAAATTTAAATCGACTAGTGTTTGCCTGAATATCAAGCCTGAATCAGCAAACAAAGGTCATTGCAATCATACTAAAACAGCATTCTCATTATATGTCTAAAATGAGGATGATCATAAATATGTAGCCAGCAGCTGTATGAAACAAGGCTAACACGTTATCTGATGAAATACCCATGCATAAGATGCTAATTCCAGTTTGAAAGTTTCAATTCAACTAATGATCAAATGCACCAAACGGTCATTAATCACAGTGAAACAAATGCCCTCACAACCTTTTAAATTTCCTTTTTAATAAGATATTAAATCTTTTAGAAATATAACGTGTTGTTCTCGATGTTTTTCAAATATTTTGATTCGCACCATATTGTCTCATTAGAGATGAGCAGCTAATTTTTTTCGTCCTCTTAATCTTCTCCGCTTTTGTAAAATATTTAATAAGAGGCTATCCCCCAAGGGGCAACCCCACTGGCAAGGGCTTGAAGTCTCTCGGTCACATTGGCTTATAGGTCCCAAGTTCGAATCTTTGGCTGAGCTTAATGCCAAAAGTCCTTGATGTCTCCCACGTCCACGACGCCTTGAGACTAGCGTGGGTGCCCCGGTTATAGGGAAGCAAGCTCCAACTCCCAGTTATCTTATATTTTGGTGAGAGGCGTGCTGTATAGTAGTAGGCACCTAGTTTTATCTTTTTTTTACATTGTTTTTTCATGTGCAATATCATAATCTAAAACAAATTTTCAGCATGAAATCATTGATATGTATATTAAGATTCATCATATATATTTTAAAATATAAATATTTCAACAGACATAACGAGTATAAAATGCCTTGCATCCATGCTTCTTTTAAAATAAGACTTGAATATCATTAACCACTAAGAATGAATGAAAAAACGTATGCAGTACATCAAGATCGGATGTTGTTCAATAAATTGAAAACCTCCACTTGAATGAAATGGACATTCGCAACAAATTGCTAAATCCATACCAGAAGATATTTGTGGCACCTTGAACAAGAGCAGATGAATTACGGAGGTGGGCTTCATCAGAATTTTCAATTTCAATTTCAAAGAGCTGCAAGATAGATCAACATCAGGCACCAAATATTTCTAATAAAATAGAAGAAAAAGAAGACAATAACTCCAATGGATCATACGTTTGGATAACATTCAAGATCGATCACTGTCTTCAAGACGAATTAAAAAGAAAGTTTTCTTTGCAAGTAGTAAGAAAAGTAGACTTCATTTCAACACAGAATAGTTAGTACCAAGGAACCCAGACCATGTACATTTGGACATCATTCAAGAACGATCACTGCCTTCAAGACGAACTAAAAAGAAAGTTTTCTTTGCAAGTAGTAAAAAAAAGTAGACTTCATTTCAACACAGAATAGTTAGTACCAAGGAACCCAGACGATGGACAAGCGAACGCTCAGAAAATGTCAAAGTATTCCATCATCAAACAACAAAGAAATAATAATAACAGTAATAGAAAGTGAAAATCACATCAGCTTTAAGAAAATGCATTGTGCAAGTTCACCCACCCATTTGTGGAATAAGAGTGTGAAAATATGACATGTAAATGATTGGCTCCACAGTTTGACAATCAAATCAAGGATTGGTTTCCCGCCTTCTGGCACCTGAACATAATAATCAGCAAGAACATCGTAAAAGCATAATGGATTATCCATTCCATGCTCCACAGGTGCAATCGCATCTTCCTCTGTGCTGAGAATTATTTCTGATTTATAAAGCAGAACATGAGTGGGTAGTGCTATAACAATATGTAACACCATCAAGTCTTCATCTGATCTAAGACTATGTAAGAAGATGCAGCTAGTACGAGCTTTGACAAGCTAGGTAGAAGTATTCAATTAATCAACTCTAATAGAGTGACTCTATTTCATTAAAGGCGAAACAAAAGACCATTCTCCATTTTATGAATATTGATGCAAAATTATAACATAGATGTCTTAATAGAAACCATTAGCATAGACGATCAGGGCAAAGATTTCAAATATACCCCTATTCTATTACAAATTAAAATATTACCTATCATAAATATTTCAAAATCATCATTGGACTCAAATCCATAGAATATAGATGAAAATTCAGAGTTGGTATAGATGTGGCAATGACCTAGAATCATGTGACAAGTGTTTGAGTCCCAATTTTTGTTCCAAGTTATTGCCACAACGTTCCAAACCCAATTTTCATCCTACATATTCACAAATTTCTACTACGAAGGTAGTATTAAAATGTTTGTGAAAGATGAAACATTGAGAAGAACATGGATATTTTTTAAACAAAAGCCTAAGTTCAATGGTACTTTTTGTAGTTTAGCCCTTAGCTATGGATCAAGTTAGTAAATACACATTTGATCTCAACAAGCATGAGATAATTTAATAACTTTCTAGAAATAAACAAGACTTATAAGACAAAAACATTCATCCACATGCTATTCCTGTTTGTCGAATATAAGTTTTTACATTCCGAAAACTCACCTTTGGCTCGGTCATCAACTTCTAATGCTATGTCAGCAAACAATTCTCGCAGTACGTCTCGCCTCTGTGATGAAGAAGCTAATGCCTATATTTAAAAATAATAATAATGATAAATCTTAAAGGTAATGATGGTTATAATTCACTAAGGAAAAACAACACCAAATAGTATAAGCAAGGAGAATTCTTACCTCAGCCTTCCCCTACACTGTCTACTCACGCTTTACAAATTACGTAATTGCAATATCCAGACAAATGCATATTCCCTCTAGAACAGAATAATCTCTTTGAAAGTCTCACAATTTCCCTTTTCACCCTTCCTTATATATACAAGGAAGGCCCAACACTTACCCCCGAGAAATTGAGTTTTAATAGAATCTAAGGCTCCCACAAAACTTACCAAGTCCACTAAGTCTTTCCATTGAATGTGGGCCTCTTCTTCAGTATGTCGCATTCCCAATACATGATTTGTCTCAAGGTTTCATTCTGAGTCGGAATCCAGGGAACCCATCAATTGTTGGATAAAAATGTCCAGTGGTGTACTTCGCTGGTAAGCCAATAAGCATTTTATATATTCATACGAGCAGCCGTTAAGGACAAAAACCTCTTCGAGAAAAATTTTATTCACCTTTTGAGCTAAGGAGAACAATATATATGGCAGAAGTTTCAAATAAACCAAATCATGTGGATTCAATCTCTCTAGGTTTACTGACCACAACGTGCTTCATCTGAAACTATGCCCCGTAATAAATAAGCCTCAAGTTCACAAAAAAGCATGGTGTCAATCTTAATTAGTTGACCTTATACCGAATTAGTGCTTGCCAATTGTCTAAACTGTACAACTGAGGAAGGTGGTGCTCATCCACTTACTTTCAATCGAGAAATTAATTTTGATATTACACCATACCAACCAAAAATGTCACCATTCAGTTTGTCATAGCAGAAACAGCGCAGTTGACTTCAGATTGGTCATCCATTTCTGGTAATGTGTCGTACTTCCAAGGAGGGATGTGTCTTGTAACCAAACAACTACACCCAAATATGACCCACGGAAACTTTGTTACACTCAAGATGTAATGGATCTAGCAAAGTTACGGAGTAAGACATGATTTCAAAAGAGAGCCACCACCTTAGGAAATAAAGGGAGTTGTGATGGTATGAAATGAGTGGATTTCCTTAATCTATCCACCACCTTATGTTTTCCCAAATTTAGCAGGGATGGAAGTAGTTAAGAGGGAGCCAGCTGGGGACAAAGTTATTATTTTGTTGCCAAATCAAACATTCTTACACTAGCCTCTACACATCTTGCCGCCAATATTACTCTCATGCAATCTTCATATAAATAACCCCCAACCGTGCTGCCTGAAAAGATTTAAAGTAAGTTGATTTGAGAGGCATGACCAGAGAACAAAATACTAGGTGATCCTTTTTATAACGTACAAAATACAGAAGATAAGAATCTGGTCTACTAAAAGATTTTCAACCATGGATAGCAACCCTGTTGAGCCAAAGAGACAACTCTAGAAAGTGCATCGGTAGGTCTATTCATGCTCGATGTGGTATGGATTTTAAGGAACATCCAGGAGCATAATCAAGACTTAATCACTCGGTGAAAATATCTCGCCCATTTCTCAAAGAAAATGGTGTAGAAGACCTGAGAGTTTCCCTGGATTTTAAAAGTCGTAGTTGGAAATTTGACTCCCTTCTCGAGCTTAGTTGGTGATTAAATTTCCCGCATTTTACTTGAGATTAAAATGGGAGCAGTTTCTTTAGGTGGTGTGTCTGCAATGTACATTGAATGAAAAATTATTTTAAGGCCAGTTTGGAATCGAATATATTCACTATAAGAATATGGCTGACCTTTGTAGAAATCACACTTGAGGCAACTTTCCAACTATATTTTCTCTCAATTCAAGCCCTAAGACCCATACAAAGGGCTAACATCTATTCCTGAATACCCTCTGATTCCTTACAAGGATGCATCAAATGGCTGCTAAATGCCTCTATTAATAGGAAAAAGATCTGGACATACATAAAGATACCCAAGGGCTTAAAGCTAAGAGAAATTTATATATTGCTCAAGTGTGGCGCATGGCCCTTGTGTCCCAACAAGAAAGAAAACGTTTCTACTTTCTCTTGTCATGAGTTGTAAGCCCCCACTGCCTCTCTTAATATTCTTCTTCTACTACAATGTGAACTCCCTAGTATTGCCCCATGTGCCATTCATAAACCTTTGTGCATGCTCAATGCCAAAGCCTAAAAACCTTCAGCCTAGGCTTTAACAGACTTTCCTCGAGCTTAAATTTTGGTCCGAGCGTGTTTGATGATTAGACCCACAATGTTGATAAAACTTTTTGTCTTAAAGCTTTATGCATCTTTGGATCAAAGGAGCCTTGCACCTCTATGAGAACACACTCAAAGTGTAAATTTGAAATGTTAAAGGAATAATATTTTTAGAAAATACAAAAGTTTACTCTTGTATTTAATGCTAATACATCATGAGTTGTGACTTGGGCCTCTAACGCACTGAATCGTGTATCTGCCAATCCATAGCCAACAATGCCATTTCTTCCAACCTATATTCCTTGATATCTACCATGTTGATCATAGCATATCATATTTTCCCTTCATTTCCACGTTATCAATGACACTTCTTCTGCCTATCTCTCCCATTACATTCTTCTTCATCAAAATAGCCTAAATCAAAGTAGCATATTAAGTTTCCTGTGTATCCAACAGGTAACAACATAACAAGTTATGTGTTCAAATGCTCCCTTAAATCAAGAATCCCTTAAATCAAGAAGCCTTTCAATTACTAACTTCATATTTCCACGTTGTCTAGCTTGACAGGTTCATAGTGTTGCATCCTTCGCAGACGTGCGAGAGTTCATTTTCTCACCTGCCATCTTCATGAGATGGGTTGGATTATATGGACTGTGGGGTGCCTGGTGTTATGGTGGTACTTGGTTGGACAAGAACGAGAAAGTGTTTAGCGGGGTGGAGAGGACCAGGAGAATGTAGCTCTTGTTATGTTCCATGTCTCTTTTTTGGCTAATGTTGTAAAGTTTTTTTTAGTAATTATCCTTTAGGTATCATTTTTCTTGATTGAAACCTCTTTTTGTTTCAGTTTTGCTCCTCTTTTGTATCCCCTTCTCAAGGAAAATTAAGCACTTCGTTCCAAAATAAAAAGACTACCCCAGCCTTTCCCTGCATTCTCTACTCACCCTTCACAAAACCCACAATTTCAACACCCTGCCAAAATGCACTCCTCATCCTTGAGAAAGAACACTCTCTTCTCAAACAAACTCACGTCCAAACAATTCACTTTTTAGCAAGTTAGTACAGCGGGAGGCCTAACATTATGATCTTGTCTTCATTCACGGTTCTTCTCTCAATCGAGAAGAACAAATGCCATTTGAATTCACAAGCTCATAAATGCCAGATTTTGTCGCAATAGCATAACTTGGTTTAAATACATCAATTCATAAGTTAGCAGAACAGGCAACAATGGTTTTAACGGGTAATGTGGAGGAGTGCCGGATATCTCACCGACCTCCACAATTGTATGATATTGTCCACTTTAAGTATTACCTTTCATCACTTTACTTTTGATTTTTCCAAGAGGCCTCATACCCATGGAGATGTATTCATGGCTTATAAACTCACAATCATTCCATTAATTAGCCAATTTAGGACTTTATCCCAACAATCCTCAATAAACAGTACAGTACGGATTATCCGAATCCATTTCCAATTGTTTCCCCCATCCAGGACAATATTTCAGCAGCAACGAAACATAAGAAACAAATTCAGATATTCAAACAAAAAAAAAAAAGTGAAGAAACACGAACCCGCTGCAGCTTCTTCTCAATCTGCAGGGACAAAGCGCTAAGATAAGCAGAGCTCCGAGGCGTCAACGTCCGCGTCATTCTGATCATAAATCATACAAAATTATTCAAGAACCGAATCTCGATGAATCCGAGCAATGGTAAATAAAGATGAGCGAGAATACTCAGCTCGTGGATGAAGACTGGATGTCCACCAACAAGAAATCACAAGACATTGGAAAAGAATGCGTGAGAAGATCCAGCGGATGCTTCGGCATGGAGAAATATGAGGATAAAATTGAAAGAAAGGGAAAATGGAAAGGGAAGAGAGGGGTGGTTATTTGGCGCGCATTGGAGGCAACACCGTGGGGCTTGGCCATGAAAGACCCCAATGAGTAGCTATTTGGGTTAGTGCCACACTCGGTGCTAACACACCCGTGTCACTCGAACGTCTCAACCTGATCCAACCCAATTCATGTACTATTTTAAAATAATATTAATAAAAGTAAATTGTTACTTCGTAAAACATCTATTTATTTATTTCTTTTTAAATATTTTTCAGCCCTTTTTAGGAACTATCTAGTAACTTCCCAGCAACCCTGCACACGACTCTCGGGTGACTTCAAATTTTTACCCCATTTTTCTTGCATGGATTATGTATTGCTCACATATACATATCGTGTTTTTAAATTATGGAGATCTCATACATATGGTATGCTCACGTACATCGAGATACTTGTCCAATGTGATTAGTACGAACATGTACCTTACGATATTTATGTTTGTCATGATGTTATGATACGGTATTGTATACACCAAAATACTATGTGCACTCCCTTCCCTTTCATGGTATACCAACATCGTGAGTGTATGCTAGTCGAATGCTAAGTCTAGGGAGTATATATACGAGCTCGCCTAGGGGTTCATGTGCACATGCGTGTGATAAGGCAACTCTAATCCTCAGCCCAACGATCCAAACTTTTGTTGAAGCAAAAACCCTTGAATCAAAAGTAATTAACACTTTCTTATACGAAATTTGGATCAACCAAGAGATAAGACTAAAATTAGATTACCTCTTAGGATCGAAGATCTAGAAGCAAGATTTGGAAACCTTGTTCTAAATTGAGTCACTCCACAACCTAACTTGATCAAGGCTTGATTGAATGGTTCGGGTGCAATTCTACCACAAGAATTGCTTGAAACTTAGAAATGAAAAATATGATGCTCGGATTTCTAAGGGAAACGTCTCAATTTGAGATCTGAATTACATTCATTCACGAATCTCATTTTTACATAACATATTGTGGGTATTTATAGTTTCCCGACAAAAGACGTTTGTGGCCGAGATTCAATCCCGATCCCCTTTAATCTCCACAAATGACGAAGTCAATTTTGACCGATTGACCATTGCAAAATGAAAACGAAAAAACGGGTAACTTTCCCCCGTGATTCCTATCATCTATCTTCCCCCTGGAACTTTCTCCATGAACAACGTGATTCCTAACATCTATCTTCCCCCTAGAACTTTCCCCCTGAACATCGTGATTCCTATCATCTATCTTCCCCTGGAACTTTCCCCGGGATTCCTATCATCTATCTTCCTCCTGGAACTTTCCCCATAAACACTGTGATTCCTATCATCTATCTTCCCCCTAGAACTTTCCCCCTAAACACCGTGATTCCTATCATCTATCTTCCCCTGGAACTTTTCCCCTGAACACCATGATTCTTATCATCTATCTTCCCCTTGGAACTTTTCCCCTGAACACCGTGATTCCTATCATCTATCTTCCCCCTGGAACACCGTGCATCTATCTTCCCCCTGGAACTTTCCCCCTGAACACCGTGATTCCTATCATCTATCTTCCCCCT